CTAGAGTGAAATCTTAATTTAAAGTGCGGTGGATTTTAGAGGGACTTGAAAAAGAGAAACACATGGGGATTTTTTGTGCTTCTCTCCTCCATTGCAGAAATGGGTACTGTTTCTCAAAGCAGGTGCTCATTTTGGAAATGGCTCTGAGTGTTTCTTCAGATTCATGACTGCCCCAAAAGCAAAAAGGTTCTACCCTTTCACATGGTGTGAAAATGGCGCTGCCTGGTAGCTTGAGACTACCAAACTTTTTATCTTCTCAAAGCTCTGCTTCCTCTTCCATCTAAGAGATGTAAATAGAACTAAATTCACAAAGTACAATGAATTTTTATCTTGTAGTAGAGAGAAAGAGTCCACCCCTTTTTGCTCTAGAGAAATACCCACCCAGTCTTCTGCACATAATCCAAAGCCTACTGAGAGTCTCAGACATTGGTTTAGTCTGATTTTGCTTAGATTCTGTCCTATCCTGTCCTGATGCATCCCCTGACCCATGCAGTGCAAACACATGCAGTTCAGATCTGCTGAGCTAGCAACCATCTGAACTCAACTGATCAACAAGTCACTTTGAGAGGCTCTTAAATTCAACACATGCTTCATCCCCTCATTGATGAGGATAATTGTAGCAGCTTTTGGCTATACAACAAATACAGTGATGTTGTGACCACCAGTGTCCTGAGCTCATTCCCCATGTCCAGAAGAGAGAGAGTGAGACAGACACTAAGGGAGAAACAGTCTGAAAGACCATATCATTAAGGAGTGATGACTCTAACCTGTAAAAGGGCCAGAGCATTGGAGTCAGTAGAAACAGAGTGGTGCTGGTCTGAGATATGATATAACACACATACATACGCACACAAAACAAAAAGAAAAAGAAAAAAAAGAAGAAAAAAGCAATAAAAAACACATTGGAAAGGAAATGTGAAATATACAAAGCCAGGCAAAGGCAAACATGATTTCCTAATTTCTATGGAGAGAGATGTGTAAATGGAGGAAAAACTATCTAAGCCCATATATCTTTATTTCAGCGTTCACAAACATCTACATTAGGAACTAAGAATAGCAATGCTATCTCATCTCTCTTCTCCTTATTGTACGTTAATGCTAAAAGGAAGAGGAAAAAGGATGAAAACAAGGTGTTCCTGTTTCAATTGTTCACTACAACATCACAAAAGATTGAATTTAAACAGAAAACAGTAGCCAAAAAATTCTTGTTTACAGTCAAATAAGTTCACAATCTCAATAAAATGAAGAAAAAAGCAGCATTTCATCAAAGCTGGCCAGCCATCAGAAAGCCATTCTGAAAACATTATCCCTGCAAATATATTTCTGTTGTTTTGTTGTTATTTGTTTTTCTTCTGCTATCTTTGCAATTGAACAGGAGATGCAAACATTGTGAGTTTCTCTGTCACTTTTGATGCCTGCCCACAGGTCCTGCACACTGCTACCCCAGCTCTGTCCCAGGCTGGAAAGCAACAGATGCTCTGCAGATTACACATCAGTACTCAACATTAAATAGCCATCCAGGCTTACACAAATTATTGCCCCCTATCATGCAGACAAGCACCTGGATTCTGAAGAAAAACCTTTTAAAACAAAAAGTTATGTTACTACCCTCCTTCTTGTGTGATCATACTTTCAACTTGTTAGTTAAACTTCAGTGTTAGAGAAGAATCACTGTCGTGGTTCCCATCACAAACCCATCCAACTGTAACCCACCAGAAACTTCCACTGCTGGTGTCTAACATCTCTGAAACACTCCAAAGAGGAGGCGTCTCCCTGTTCTTCCCAAAACATCTGCCTTTACTCCATCCTAAAAGCTGGCAGAACAGCCCCCCTGTTATGTCTGTCTTTTGCCAAGGAAATAATTCACTGGCACTCAGGTCATATTTGGCCAGGTCTGAGCAGGTATGAATACATCACGTCGGAGGACATTTGCTCTGCAGGAACCTCTGCTAAGTTACGTGATTTATTTGTGTATTCAGATCACTGCTGCTTCTCCCACTGACCAGAGAAATCTCTAACCTCCATCTCACCAGGCAACATGAGGAAGGATGCCATGATGCAACATGAGGAATGCCAGCCAAGGGCTGAAGCTGCCTACTTTTGGGACCACCCAGCTTCAGCCAGGACTCAAAAGCTTTTCCAGATTAGGTATAGCTGTGATAGGTCCTATTTAACACACACTACGCACTCCTGCCTCACCCCATCCCACCACATGTAGCTATCCTATCCAACCAACACTAACTCCATAGCTTCTGCTTTCTGCAAACATCTTTGCTTTTCCTCTCTCCCCTTGATCACCTCTCTGAGGATTATTTTCACTCCGATTATCTATATTTATATATATGTTTGTAACTAATTCCTGTTTAAATGCTTGCTGCATGCTACCTCGCTGTTTCCCCTCACTGGTGTGACCTCTTTCTCTTTCCATCTACTTGGTACATGTAGCTTAGGACTTCTGTTATCCCTGTGATGGATTTATTTATCACACTCTAATGATTCTTCTATCCTTGCTCTGTGTCTCAAAGGCTGGCTTTCGGGAAAGAGGGTGAGAGGTTGCTGTGTAGCAATCTTTGTTTATTTTAAACCACAATAATCCACTTGAGCTGGAGAGGTGGGAAAAAGAAATTGGCATTTTCTTTTCTTTTCTTTTTTTTTTTTTCCCAATAATAATAAAAAACCTGACGTTTGCAGCACATTAACCTCCCTAGCCAGAAACATCTTCCCAGTTGAGACACAAAGAAATATGCAGCTATGAGATGTGTTTTACCCCCGCTTTATGTCTTGAGTGAACAACAGTATGTGACACATAGATCAAGATAAGTAGCTGTGCAGGCTCGCTTTGCAGCGGGCGAGCTGATGTGATGTATTGCAGGCACAGATGACTTCACAAGTCAGTGCTTTATGCCCTTGGTCCCAAGACCATTCGCACCAGGTGTGTGCAGGACCAGTTTCCTTTAAGGCAGTGATCTACACTGAATCTGGCCTGGAAACAGGGCTGCCTTGCTCTGCAACCAGTTGGAGAAGGCAACGTGAAGTTTCTTCGAGTGTTTGGATAAGATTTAACACCAAGTCCTGCAAAAAGAGTCTGTGGATGCAAAGTTAGCCCAGTAGTGTTTTGTGAGCAATTTTGTGCTATCAGAGCAGGCATCCATCACATCAGTGCTTTGCATCATTCAGCCACAGCATACCTGGTCCAGGGCTGGAAGCTTTATATCTGGATTTATTGTATCATCAAAAGGAGGTGCAGGAGTCTATCGGTGGTGGGAAGTGGTTACACATCTGCAGTCCCTTAACAAAGTGACCTGCATCTGACTGGAGTGTGTTACAGAGATACCATCAGTGGGAAGGCGTAGGATACTGTCTGGCTTTTTAGTCTGTGTTGGGGACGAGCAGCAAACATCTGTCACAAACCTTATCAGAGGACAGCTCCTGTTGGACGGCGCACAAATAAAATCACAACACAAGTAAAGATTGTGGAGATGAGAGGCAATTGCTAAAGCATCTGCTAAATTCAAGGTTCCGGCAACTTTCTAGCCATACAAGTTCAATAGCCCTTCATTTCTCCTTCTAATAACTTACAAGCCCATTAAAAATATATATCTATATATTTCCTCACCCCTCACCCTCCCCAAAACCAAATCTTTAATCAGTTACACCTTTTAACGCAGAATCAGCAGCAGCAGCAATGAGGAATGACCCCTTAGCAGCAGCCCTGGTGAGGCAGGGATTTTTTTTCTTTCTTCCTTTTTCTGTCTGCAGCTTCAATTGTGCCTTTGAAACATCTTTAAGTGCCAGAGCTTTGTCCTTTTCACTTCCTCCTCCTGTTCTTGTATTTTCCAGATAGAGTCACTGAAAAAAGTGTTTTCATTGTTATTAGCAAGTCGTTTCTGCTCTTTCCTAAGGTTCATGTTATCCTCCTGGGTTGCACGGTCATACTCTGCTTTGTGTCTGCACAGTACTTGGCACAAGCACTCCCTGTCCGAAAATGAAATCTCAAGGCACCACTGCAAAGCAAAAATAGTCAGGGTAGAAGCAATCATCCTTTATAAGAGCTTTTCTCATTCCAAAATATCCCCTATACATAATGTCTCCAACTCAGCTCTTAAATTCAGGGTGACCTGTAGATTTCTAACAGAAGGGCTGAAGGCAGAATGTTAGTCTGCTGATAATAATTTTTATTCTTTTCATTAGAAAACCATACCCATTAGGCAACTGATTTCTATGGGTCTTCTGAGTCAGTGTTTTGCTAGTCGCAGCTCCTAGAAATGTCAGCTCTGCATTGTGGCACGAAGAAGGATGTGGACAGGGGCTTGGGCAGGTTTTCCATGCAGCACTGTCAACACACCTCAGACATGACAGACAGCATCTCCTACTCATCCAGCTGCCCCCAAACTGTCAAAGATCCCTTGTCCCCAGGAGGCTGCGAGGGGCTGGAGATAAAAAGACAATCTTCTTTCACTGGTAAAGTCAAACTGAGCCTTGACAGCAGGCTTCCAGAGGAGAAAGCTGGTGTATTAATGTCTCGCTATTCTGGAGCAGATCTTAGTGAAAACCAACAAGCCTTACAGTACAAGTTTCAGTATTTTCTGTATAATCCTGCTCAGTATTAGTTATAAATCTTATCAGGTGATAGACTGTTTGTTCTCACAGAAATAAAATAACAAATGGAGTAGAGATTGCAGAGAGCTGACAATCACCAGAGGCAATGCAGCACTCAGGCTCCTTGGGATCACAAGAACTTTTCAGCTCAAGAAGCTTAACAGCCCTTCATTTCTCTTCTCTAGGAACTTATGAGCCCATTAAAAATATATATCTCTGTATTCCCCTCCACCCAGAAGCTTTCCTCCTTCAGCCAGCTGCGCCATTTAATGCAGACTCAGCAGCAATGAAGAATGGTCCTGCAGAAGAACCCCAGGGAAACAGCTTTTTCTTTTTTCCCTTCCTTTCTTCCTTTTTGCAGATCCAGTTGTGCCTCTAAAATCTCTCAGAGCAGCTGGCACCTTGTCATTTCTTTTTTAATTTCTTTTGTGTGTGTGTGTTTCTAGGTAAGAAGAAAGACTTTCATCTTCATTAGGGCCATACGTTTCAGCAGGTTCATTAGGCTCTTTTTTTGTTGCCATTGGTGTGCGGTTGCCTGCAACAAGAAAAATAGCCTCAAACATCATTAGTCTGCTGAAGAAAATTTCAGTGTTCCTTCCTGGGGCTCTGGGAATTTGTGCTCTGTTGAAACTTCAGCAAAATCAAAAATCTGACATCAGCCATCTTCCTTTATTCTTTCTCATGCGCCTTACAACAGACATCGTTCCTCAGGGCCCAATCTTTCCTTTACATAAACTGTGCTGTAGTCTTTAATAGAAGCCAGGGCAAACCCAGGCCCTGATCTTTTTCTAAGGCAGCAACACACCTGCAGCGATCGCTCCCTGAGGTACAAGCTGACCCATTCATCATGAGGGGTGTTGACTCTACACATAAAAATGACAGCCTAAATTGTATTTAATGACATTAGCTGTTTCCCAGCTGATCATTTTAGCAGATTCATTCAGCCGTGCACAAGTTGGCAAAGCTTGGGGCAAAAGGCTGCACCTGGCTGTGCAGAAACAGCCCCTTTGATATCTGAGTGCAGGTGAAACTGGGGCCCAGTTTTGAGAAGCTTTTCATCTCGTGTTATCCATTGGGATGACTCCAGGACCCCACTCTGCTGACACCAAGCCTAATGCACAGATACAGCACGTATGAGTTCCTGTAATCATTTTTGGCTTGCCATCCTCTCCTCAGCATCTGTCTATCTTACATTCAGGGCCAGTATTTTTTCCTAATTTATAAGCTAAATAAATGAATCCCTGACCTCTCAACAGCTGCCCCTCCATGCCCTGCTGAATGCTAGGATTATTTCTGCATGAATTAAACAGCCTGGAAACCCAAAAAGAGTGTGTAGATGATAGAGTTCCTCCAGGAATATTAGCCACTGCCTGAGGCAAAAGACACAAGTCCACGCCAGGGTGCCAAGGAGTCTCTTCTCTTAATCAAACTCCTAATCATTCAGCCCCCAAAGTCAGATTTATGTAAATGCCATATTTATCTAAATTCTCAGCCCACTTTGACCATTTTTATAGAGGACTATAACTCCCATTGGATTCCTCAAGCTCTACTGGCTCTTTCTATTCTTACTGTCTATATGCACACACATACTAACAATGGTTTTCATCTCATCTGCCTTTTTCCAGCAGGACCTATGAATCCCAAGGTTATCCTGCTTCTAATACGCCTCTCCATGTAGGGCCCCATAAAATTTCCTGCAATAAACAAGAGATAATCCTCTGCTCTCCCAGCCACGATTCATTTATCTTCTGCGAATGACCAGGCAGATGACAAGTTGCTGCCCTCATAAACTTCTTAAAGTGCCTACCATAGACATGGCGGGCTTTGCAATGTGTTTAGTTTGGCATTGATCTCCAAGTACATGGTAGAAAGAAATAATCTTATCCATGCAATGAGAAATTGGAGGAGGGGGAGGATGTATTGTAAGCATATTTCATCAAAAAAAAGTCCTCAGAAGTAATTGCTCAAACTAGACAGGGAAGCTAATTGAACATAATAGCAGTGAAAAGGTTCTCTGTACTTCATGACAGAGGCAGCACTGCTGGCTGGTTTTAATCTGCCATTATGGCATACGGGTTACATAGAGAATTATTTGCAGCCCTAGGAAAGAGCCTGCAGCCTGGAAGTGTTTAACATAAACTATGTGGCCACCCATACGACTTCCTTGGAAGTAACAAGTGATTTTAGAGACAGAGATTATACGAGGTTGCTGAAGCCAGATTTTTTTCTACTCAAGCAGCTACACCTTTACTTTCCTCACTGAGAGTTTTCACTCTGCTGATTGGTGTTGTGAATACAAAATTTATAGCATCTTGAATCAGTCTGGGAGATTCAGGGAAAGAGTAAAATAAAATGTAATTTCACATCAAAATAACTCACAGAGGAGCTGCTTCACTGACTGTGAGATTAATTGTCATATTTAATGCATTATAAACCTCTCCTTGTTAATTTATATCAAGTCACCCCAAGATTTCCAGGCTGTTGCACCAGGCAGTCACTGATGCCAAGGTAGCTTGCTGCTGCAATATTTAAGTCTAGCATGGCTATAATGCTTTAGGGTCTTACTGCTCAATTACCGGAGGATCATTAAAAAATTATTTAATCCAATAGCACTGATAATAAATCAATTCTTTGAGACCAAGGTTTATTCTACAATAAATGATTGTGCTTTAGAAGATCAGTTTCAAAACCTTGAAATTTTGCTTTGGCTCACAAAGAGAGGTGCATCTGGACTTTGAAACCCACCCCTGGCAAAGTGGAGACATGGAGACATCACCTTTCCCCAGATCTAAAGCTGACCTTGTGCCACAAACCACTGGCCAGACCATGGAGAGGATTATTCCTATCTGTCTGCCTGCTTCTTAAGGCTGTTTCCTCAACATTATGCGTGAACATATGTTCGTGAAGACAGGAGGCAGGGTGAGCTGATTGTTGAATCTGCATTGGGTTTGTCATCCTTGGAGGCCAGCTTGGCTCTGCTTGCCAGTCAGCCTACCTGCCTCCACCAGGGCCAAGGAGTGGGTTTGGTGATGCTGGTGTCAGTTGACACTGGTGGTAAGGCACTGGCATGGGCTGCCCAGAGAGCTGTGGGTGCCCCATCTCTGGAGGTGTTCAAGGCCAGGTTGGATAGGGCCCTGAGCAGCCTGTGCTGATGGCTGGCAACTGGCCCACCACACAGAATTGGAACAAGATGATCTCTAACACCCCTTCCTACGCAAGCCATTCTATGACCCTCTGATTCGATGGCAGCAATATAGTCAAGGCTGTGTAAAGCCAACATCCGTGACACAGGAGTGAGGGCCAGAAATCTGTTCTCACAAAGGGAATGAGAGAACTCCTTTAAGTTCATCAGGATTTACATGCCATGCTGTATTGCTGCTACCTCCCAGTGAGCACGTTTTCCTTCAGACAAGGGCAGATCATGACAAGCAAAGGAAACCTCTGTTTCAAGCAAATTTAAAGACTATCCATGCATGCTTTAAAGGCACAAATTAACCCCCCCCACACACACACAAGCCAATCAAATAGCAGTGTCATAAATGCAGAGACATCAGAGCACAATATCCCCCACTGACTCTCCTCACATACCATATATACACACACAGTGTTTCGTCTCCGGGTCAGTGGGAAAGTTAATTAGAAGAATGGAGTTTCTCATGATGGAAGATACCACCCTGATATGATTCTGAGTCCTCTCTGTACTTGTGATGAATTACAAATGACAGCAAGGGAAGTGAAGGACAACAGCAGTGACAGTTTGTCAGCCACGCTGGCTCTGCGTACATTTTTGGGTGGGTAGCTTTTTCTCCTCTGTTCACTGTATGCTACTCTCTACAACTCCTCCCTTCTGCCTCCTCTCTCTGTGCTTTCATTTCCCAGCAGGTGACTGGAAGGCAAGAGGGGGGGCAGCCCCTTCAGCATACCTTTGGAGCCAGAAGGGTAAGGCTCAGGCAAAAAAAGGGAAATGTCAAGAGGTGTCTCTTCTTTCCTCCAGACTATGCTTCTCTCCATCAATGAAGAAGTCACTGGGAAGACTGGGACAGGGCTTGCTCACTCATGGTTCTTCGATTATTCTTGGGTTTTTGGTAGTTATTCATCTAGTGCTACAAAGTTCTCGCTTTTCTCAGATGTGTTGTTACAAGACATGTCTGCTCTCAGCCTGGTTGAAACACGTGTTTTTATTTTGGTTGCCAATGACTGCAAGATAGGCTGATTTGGGAAGGGTAAACCTGGCAGCTGTACTCATTTTTATCAGGACAGCAAACGCTGCAAGTGGTTGGAGCAGACAGCACTTCTCTTGCGCAGAAGCAGATGAAACACGTGGCAGTCCTGACCCTTGATTTTAGGACCACGATAAGGATTTGAGCACTTATTTCAGAGGATGGCAAATTAAATGAATAATGATAGAGTATATGCTCATGAAACAGAGCATGACTATGCTTGAGTGAAGACGATTGGTTGTTAACTCCACTCCTATTAAAGTTCATCTTCTGAGAGGCTACATAGCTGCTAAATAAAAGCTGAAATATATTTCTTTGCCAACTTCAAGGTCATGTTTCTGCAGCATTATGGAATACATTAAAATGCTCAATTTATGCCCCATAACTCAACAAAAATAAAAATGTATCTTATATTAAATAAACCTCTACCAATATCTCTCCCTCTCTAACTTTATCTCCTTGCCCTTTGTATTTAATAGAGGTGGCTTATTTTTTTCCAATTTGAGAAACTTTTCTTTACTATATTTGCTCTTTACTCAATGGAAGTCCTTGTTGCCCCAAGAGAAAACAAACAAACAAACAAACAAACAAGTATATGTAGAGGTGTTATCTTTCCAAGTGAATGACAAATCAAAGGTCTTGAGTCTCCTCTCACTCACAAAACCCACTGACCAGCTATTTACCATCTCCAGACTGAAAGAAGAATTGCAACAACCTGAATTTTGTTTGGCTTGTGCCTATGGCTAAGTTATTTGCCTTTGTGTAGGCACGTCACATTGTGTGTAAATAACCTGGTTCCTCTTACTTTATGTCCAGAAAGACTAGCTACAGCCCTTTAGAGCCAGGGCACGGAGCACTGTAGGACAGTCCAGAGACATGGTTACCTGACCAGGAAGGGTGTTCATGGGCTGAACTGCCAAAACAGTCATTTCTTTATCACTCTTCTGTTAAGTCCTCTAATTCAAAGAAACCAGCTTCCAAGCATTTACTTCTTCCACTCAGCCTGAACTCCACAGGCCATGTATACTGTGTATATGTCATCACTGAGGGTGGTGAGATGCTGGTACAGGCTGCCCAGACAGCTGTGGATGCCCCAACCCTGGCAGTGTTCAAGGCCAAATCAGATGGGACCCTGGGCAGCCTGGTCTAGTGGAAGGTGTTCCTGCCCATAGCAGAGGGTTGGAACTGGACAATCTTTAAGGTTCCTTCCAACCCAAACCAAGCTATGATTCCATCATTTTATGCCAGTGAATTGCTTTCTGCACCACCTGCTGTGCTAGTGATTTTCTTGGCTCTTACAGAACTTACAATGCAACTGAGAGGCTTTTGTTCACCTTCTTCCTTCTTCCTGCATCCTCTGAGATGACTGGTGGCACCATTTCCTATGATTTTTGCCTGAGCTGTCCTGCCAAATGTTTTCACATTTTGAAGTAGAAGAGGAAGGTGTTTCCTGCAAACAGATTATGAATTGAAATATTTCCCTGAGCTCCCATTCACAGGATTTCTAATGCACTGGGCATCAGCTTAGCCCTCTGATGAATCGAAGTCATTTTGTAAAAATGGCACCTTACTGTTGCATATATATTGTCCCTCTGCAGCTTCCCTGGCATATTTATTCAGTTTACTAGTCAAAACTAGTTTCATGCTACACTAAGCCCAGCAGGGTCAACACCTAACCTATGAAAATCAAGCTGTCTTTTTTCTCTTTGCTTCATACATCATCATCAACCAAAGCTGGATAATAGAAAGCAGGTTTTGATCCCAGAATGATTATTGCTGCTGCCGCCTGGGATTTGACAGGAGGAAAGACAAAGAGGAGGAACATATGAGTTTGCAGTGGCTTGATCCATCAGACGTCAGAAAAACGTACAATACGTTTTGTCCTGTAAAGGAGGGCACCATGTGGACCTGTAAGGTATCTGTGGGAAGGCTGCAGATGCAGGTGTGGCTTGATGTAGATGTACAAAAACACACAGAGAGGTTGGAAGAACTGCAACCCAAGGCTCATGGCAGTAAGATGGCTGATGTTATGGTGAAATGTAGATTAAAAATCATCAAATCAGTGGGCTTCTTGGTTGCATTCAGGAAGGAAATGAACATCAGGAGCCCTGGAGAGAGGACTGTCGTTTAGCATTTGTGTTAAACTTCTGCAGTGAACTCAAGAACCCACTGCCAACTAGGAACAGAGAGTGACTTTTTAATGGACTATCTGGGAACTGACATAATGGAGGACCTTGGTCTTTCAACCATACCCTCCACTACCTTTCAGCCAGAAGCTTCACAGAAGCTGTGAAACATCTGGGAATAGCTAGAGAATAACTGAAATGTTTGGTTCATGTGAACTGCGGGGAAGGATCTGTCTGCACATAATGCAGATAGGAGAAGAAAGGACTGAAAGAGTAAAGGATGCTTGTATCCAATGCTGGCAAACACCAGACTTGCTGTGTGGAGAAAATCAGGAGTTTTATCCAGATATCCAAAAGCATGTAGGCCATGAATATCTGATTCAAACAAATTACATACTTTAAACTAATCAGTGTTTTCTGCACTTTTTTCCCCTGACTCCTCCTAATTTTCTCCATCAACAGCTCTAAGATGGGGCTGTGACTCTTTCTTAGTAGGTATGGCAACAGTCATCAGAACTGTGCTTTGAAAATGGCCAACAGTCCACGGCTTTTTGTCAGGATCCCAAGGGCACAGGCAAGATGCTTCTGGTAGTATCTGCAGAAATGGGTACAGCAGAGATGGGTGAGAAAGCCAAGACCAAGGACAAGTACAGAGTCCCATGCAGATGCATCAACTTCTGTTCTGTGCAGGAGTCACTGAGACAAACCCTTTGGCTGACAAACCTAGCAAAAACAAGCTCAGTTCCAAGATGTCTAGATGTAATTCTATGGGTTGAGCTACAAAAAAAAGAAAACAAAACCTCAGCCTAACCCAAACTAATAGCAAATGAAAAAGACCTCAAGACATAATAAGCAGGAGCTGAAACATTTCTTATTCTCGGTGGAGCAGAAGTTGTAACACAGATGCACTTGTTAAAGTTTTGAAAACATAATTAAAATCATGCATTTCCATTGCATGGTGTACACTGAGCTGCAGGTTCAGAGCTGTGTGTGTTCCTGCACGCCACACCTGCCCTGCAAGGTACATCTCTGTGAAGCTGCAGCTCCAGTTGTTGGTTTCACATATCACTGTGTTTAGCATGCAACCAGAGCTCCTCACCTGCCTTTCACTGGAACTCAGCATGGCCCCCCTGCTATTGATTAATTTGTGCTAATTAAAAGCAGCAGTGTTTCTGCAGAAAAGAAAGATGTGTAAGTGTCAATAAATTATGGGAAATTTCGCAGATTAAAGATTGCCAATTTCTGCTTGAAAATAACTAAACAAATGCTAATGGTTCTTTCTAAAGAGCCCAAATTTGCTAACAGGGCTGCATGAATGGGCTCCTCTGCTCTTCTTCGATTTCAGTGTAGGTAATACTTACAGCGCTTCTGTGTCTAGGTGAGCTGAAAGACTTCATTTTTTTCAACATAGGTGTTTCTGTTTTCAAAGATAATTTATTCATTGCTCTTTGCTCATCGTTGCCAGCTACTCAAGCCAAAGCAATGGGTTGAATCAAGACTTTTAAGTGCCAGCAGTGAGTCAACTCTACAAAACAGAACTCCACAAAGCAACGAGGGAATAAACAGGAATTGCAACAAGCCACCAATGCAGCTTGTTAGCAGCTGCTGGTAATAAACCTGCCTAAAAGCAGGTGCAATGAAGGAAACTTTGTAAAGCTGTAAAAACAGCTGGAGATAAGCCCGGCTTTTAAGGGATGAAACTGTATTCAGGGATTGAGAATGCTTGCTATTTATCTCCTTTGCAGGGCACAGCAGAGTGTGGAGACTTGGAGAAGCTTCAAGGGACAAAAGACATGTCTTAGGCAAGGTATTGCCTTTCCCTCTTCCCATTAATCCTCTCTGGGGATTGCAGGAAGGTGGGAACCAACCACTCCTCTGGGTAGCTGGAGACAAAGGAAGCTCTTTGTGTCTCTGGGTGTGGAGAAATGGCCAAAAGGATCACAGGCAAAGCAAAAAGATCATCACTGATGATGAGCCACAGGCCAAAGCTTGGGACAATTAAGTTGGTGTAGAAGGGGATGGAGAAGCTCTCAGGCAGGTTCAGATTTGCGCAAAGCACCGTCAAAAATGGGGAGCTCAGTATCAGTGTTGGATTAATGGTTTGGATCCCCTGGGCAAGGATCTGAAAAGTGCTTTGGATGGGCCTCTTGCATTTCATGGCCTTCTCAACATATAAGAACAAATGACAGGCAAAGTCAGAAAAGCTACAGCCATCAGTAGTTCTTCTGGCACAGTACTTCATTAGTAGCTGCCACTCAGGGATCCAGTTCCTTTTTGAGCAGAGATCCACTACCTCATGCACAAATGCCACCCAGGAGTTCCTGGGCACAGAGAATGATGCTATCCAGCCTACTTAGAACCAAAAGCATCACAAACCCAGCACCACTAATAAGGAGATTCACATCCCTGGGGTGATTCTGGAGATGAAGGACAACCAGACCAGGTAACCAGGCAGCAGCCTGCATGCAGCTGTCCTTTCCATGCTCTGGTTCCTGTCCTAACCATCCTGCTCCCAGTTTCCAATACCACATCTTTTGTTGCTGACAGGAAAACCAAAATATTGCCAGTACAGCTTCAGGTGATTCTGGTTACCAAAAGGAGCCTCCCAGTCTCTACATGATAATCCAGCACAGTGACTAAAATCCAAATCACCTAAGTTTTGCAATTGAAGATTCAGACAGCATCAGCAACAGGCATCTTCAGCATGGACAGTGCACTGACTGATTTTTCAAGTGGGAGGAGAGAATTCCCTGGGAAAGAGAAGGGCTACAATGCCTGACATGACACCATTGAGGCTGATGAAATAGAGGCTTGGCAGTAAAGATGTGTGTGTCATTCATTACAGGTTTACGCTTAATGACAGCCTCTTGCCCTTGATCTTTGGAGCTGTGTGAAGGAGCACAGGGGAGGAAGAGCTTAAATGTCAGCTCTGCACCGAGGCAGGAGAACTCCCTGCATTAGCAGTGGCTGGCCAGGATGAGGTCCCGTCACGGTGGGAGCATCTCATCAGACATGCTGAGAGCAGCCGTGACAAATCAGGAAGCTCCTGCCGTTGGCTTGGTGGGATTAATTAATTTCCACATTGTCGCTGCCTCCAATTAACTCTGAGGCTGCAGGCTGGGACCTGCTGGGTTTTGGTGGGGAGGGATCAACAGGGTAATGAAGGCTGGTGTGTGGGAGCTGCTTGGCAGCACAGGGGCAGGGTCTCATCTGCATGTATGGGAAGAGAAATGTGCCTGGAAGGAAGTAGAAATGCAATATCAGTATAACAGCGCAAAGTCACACAGTTGGATGCCATACAAGTAAGAATTTCTTTTGCAGTGCTGGGGGGAAGAGGGACACCTTTGGAAATTTTTCTCTTGGTAGACACAGTCACAAGAAGAAAACTCATCAGCACAAGTGTTTGTAGAAGAAACAGGGAAATGTGCTGCCCAGGGAGGTGGTGGAGTCACCGTCCCTGGAGGTGTTCAAGAACCGCAGAGATGTGGCAGTGAGGAACATTGTCGGTTGGCAGAGTGGGGTTGGGTTGGGTCTTTTCCAGCCTTAATGATTCTATGGCTCCATGATACTGATGGCACTGTACAAGGCAGTAGTAAGACTGCACGTAAGATACTTTGTATGGGTTATAGTTATGGTCAGGTTAAAATAGTTTATGCTGAGAAAGGCAGCATACTGGAAATGCTAAGTCATGGCTTGAAACAGTGATTGAGCACCTGGTGGGAAGGCAGGGCCAACCCAGGGGAGCTCAGCTGCATGCAATGCAGCTGAGTGACTGGAAGGTGTGGAGCCAGGATCCAGCCCTTCCCAGACCTCATTTAAGGGTTGGCAGTGGAGGTAAGGGTAGCATGATGGAGAGTCCTGTGTACCTGAGTCTTTCTGAAGGTAAGCAGTTTCTTTTACTTCTGTACCCACAGTTGTTGTGTGTTAGTAAACTCTCACTTGTTACAGCCTGGGACCTTGTTACCCTGCTGCTATTGCTGTACTTTCCATTGTGTTCCAGGCACTGAAAGGGGGTGTCTGCTGAGAGAAGGCTGTAAGCTAGATGTGGTGGGTTTTAGTCTGTAGGTTTCTGGTGTCAGAAGGTCTCTGGGCTGTAAAAGCTTTTTCTTTTCTTTCTTTTTTTTTTTTTTTCCTCCCCCCTCTCTCCAAAACTGGGTTGTCATACTGATTAAGGTGAGGGATGCGACTTACTTCTCTATTGGTGATGGACAGTATAAGACTGAAAGTGTGTTTTGCTCTGTGGCTCGTGTTGCATTTCACTCTTATTGAGGAATGTGTATTTGATCTGATAATAACCTTAAGCTGTGATAAATTCATTTCTATTACTGTTAACCATAATGGCTAGTTTCTCAAGATGAAAAGGGTATTTTTAAAATTGAGGTTCAATTTAACATCATCTAACATGTGAAATTTGACTGTTGTTCATTGTGGGAAAGACAAGAAAACAACATTTTCAGTTATGGAAATGCTGGAAGAAAATGTTGGATTTTCATCTATAGAGAGATCTATCAAGTATTTTATATAACTAACTGCTTAATGTGGCTCAAATCTCCAGAAGCTGCATTCAAGAATCCAGTTCATGAGAACTCCAGACTCTTTTTAGAACCAATCCAGTATGAGATCATAGGAGGGTGGGCAATACTACACTCATATGTCCAGAAATCTGATATAGGATTTATTTCATCTTCCTGTTTGGAAAAATACACGATCCACTCATCATAGATTTCTTTCACAGGGTAAGAAAGGATGATAGACATTCAAAAGTACAGTTCATTTCATCTTAATATGGACATTAGCATGAGTGTACGTGTCTCTTCTTGGCTGTAATTGGAGCCTGGGGTGCCAAGCTCAAATGGAAATGTCTGCCTTGCAGAAATAGGATCAAGCTAACTTCTTGCATACTATAGTCAAGGGTCATATTTTTGCTTTCTTTCTCAAGAAAGTTCTGTAATGCTGATCCTATTCTGAATTATTCAGCATTGTTCCAGATGAGTGTCTTCATGTTTCTCTTCAGGACTTCCTTTCCATACCCATGAGCATTGTGCCTGTCTGCTGCAGGCCACCAGGTATCCTCATGACTGCTGTGGGTGCTGTTGCTTTTGGCAATCTCCCAGGCCCTAAGGAAGAAGAGTTGTAATGGTTACTCAACCCAGTAAGCTGCAGAGCTCAGCAAAGAACCCAGCTTCTGATCTGTAGACAGGGCTATCTCTCCACATCCAGCAAGGCAAGCTTGTAGCTGGGTTAGGAGGAAGAGAATTCTTGCCAAGGGAGAAGTGAGCTTTGGATGACCAGACATGCGGAGTTAAGAAATGACAGTGTAACAGGCATTAACTGTGGGTGAGGTATTAAAGCACTGTCATCTGAATTAAGCAAGAAACTCTTGTCTTTTTAAAAGTGTGTGTGCTCTTTTTCCTTGGAAAATGCACATTCAGAAGATCCCTGGGTTGAAGTGGGATGGTTCAAGGGAGACAGTGTGAACAGCAAATTTTTTCCTTCAGCAGATCCCCATGTCCAGATCTGCCCTTCCATCCCTAAGCATAAGAAACCTTATTTGCCATCAAAGATGCAGACACTGCAAAAAGGTTATACAAGAGCCCTGGGGATGGCTCAGGCACAAGGCAAAGGAGCAGCTCAGTAGGTTTGTATACCTAGACATATTGAAATGAATGAGTCATAACCAGAGGGGCAGAAGGTGTCACAGGTTGTGCTACGTGTGAGCAAATGTATATAATAATAAGTTTAGTTGGATGGAGTGGTACTGAGGTGTATCGCTCAAATGGGACACCAAGAACTAGAGCTGTAGAGCCCAGTACTGATCAGATAGGAGGCACAAAAGGTAGTGGTGTGAACCTTGTACCTGTCCTACCTGCTGTCCTACACGGTTTGTCCCCTGGCAGTTCTATATGCAATCACAAAAAAAAAAAAAATAATCAAGAAACAGAGCTGTGTCAGCATTAAAAAAAAAAAATCATTCTGCACAGGATGTTGGTTTCCCTTTATTGCCAACTCCTCTGGATTCATATCAGGAAGTCTGGAAGCTGCACATCCCTAATGAAAAGCAGAATATATTCATTATTAAATTCAAAATGTTCAAATGCAATTTGTTGCTAACAGATTTCAAGGTCTGTTTGAGTGATCCCCATGCAGCAAAACCACTGCAATACAAAAAATGATGAAGTGATTCCAAGCGAGGCTGGTGCTACATATGATTGTACCAGAACTTGCTCTGGTTTTGCTTTTTGCTCTCTCCAAGGCTCCTGATTCACCCTGAGCATGAAAAGACAATTTCTGTCCTCAGAAGGGTGGCGGCTTAATCTGCTCTTTCCTGCTGAGTTTAGCTGGAAGCTCACAAAATATTGTTTATATGCCTGGCAGTTGTTGGCATCTTTGTCATCAGTCAGGCACTGAAGTAATAATAGAGGAGTATTAATTTCAACTATTAAGAAATTCTTTAATCTCCTACATGTCTGTCTGGGGCTTGGTGTTTGAGAACAGAGGCACCATGAGCCTTGTCATCGTGTCCCCTATGTGTGCTCAGCAATGTGTCAGGACCAGGCCCTGTTTCTCCTTCCAGAGTTTTACAAGTGGAGACTTGAGTGCCTCTTATTCAGGAATGCCCAAGGATCATCAGACCCTCTCTTCCCAGACTTGCCCACACACCAGGAAAAGTCTTTAATTTCACTAAGCAATCACTTGGAAACAAACCTCGAACTTTCAAACCATGCCAGGAAACTTATCTTCCCCTCCAGGCTGTGGGTGCTCTTCAGGAATTCAAAGGAAAGTTAGGTGCTTTCAAGACATTCCAATACCCTCCCTTTAAGAAGTGCTGTAAAACATGTCTGAGAATCCAATCGCTCAAGTTGAGAATGCAATGCACCCAAACTCAGGGAAAGTAAAATACAAATAAAGGTGAGCATTTACAAAGTCTGACTAGACAACACAGTGGCAGGTGAAGAAAGGCAAGAAAAGGTCTCTTAATCCTCTAATCCAGAGACCAGACCTACAAAGTCTCTTTCCTTCCCTGTATTTAAGTTCCTCTCAGGCAGCACTACTGGCAAAATCTGTAGTGAGGGCCTGGTGATACGGCTTGTCTGCAAGTGGGACTTCTGGGGAAAACATAATGGCAGTGCAATCTAGACAGGCAAGTCTAGAGAGCATCAGCAGACAGCTTCAATATCCCCCTGTCTCTGCTCACTGGAAAGCTTTATTCATGAAATGCCTCTTATTTTAAACTAAAGCAGTGCCTATTATCTGGTCTCCAGACATCTCAGAACAATGTTTTTCAACAAAGCTGTAATCAAGAGCACTGTACTTCTGCAGGCCTCATAGCTCTCTCTATTGCTGGAAAATTGGGGGTTGCTTTTTAAGTTGCTGACTGGAAACAGGGGATGCATTTCCACTTATCCCAGCAGGAGCACTTTAGGCCCAAGCTACATTAGAAGTAATACTCTGAGGCATCTTAAATTTTGAAGCCATCTTCCATTTATTCATCGTGAAAATTATTCTCTTGTTAAACTGGAGAAGTCAATTTGTCTGGTAAATATATGGATGGAACCATCACAACCTTCACAGAGGAAAGGATTAGTGTGGACTGGAGGAGCGATGCCTCCAGTGATACCAGAATTCGCATGACCGCATCAGGATGGCACCAAGCCAGAGACAATTCACTGTGCTGCTGACAGGCTGGGTTTGTGTAGCTGCCTGGGCTCCATGCCACTGTACTGCAGTGAGGTGGTGCTGGTCAGCTTGGGTGTGCTAAATAAACACATGCCAGCTGGGTTGCGTACACCTGCAGCCCTGTTCTCCTTCCACCAGCCACTCACTCTGATGGGAGTGAAGAAACATGTCTTGTTTTCCTTCCCACGTTGTCAGCGTTTGTCAGTAGATCTGAAAATGAAAGGAGGCTGTAGTGATGTGAAGGTCGGATTCCTTTCCCATATAATAGCAATAGGATGAGAGATAGCGGTCTTAAGTTGCTCCAGGGTGGGTCCAGGTTGGATATTAGGAAAAACGTCTCAAAAAGAGCGATGAAGCATTGGAGCAAGCTGCCCAGGGAGTGATGGAAACACCGCCCTTGGAAGTGTCCAAGAAAATCACTGAGGGACACAATCGAGAGCTGTCACAGGCATGGGGTGATGGTTGGACTAGATGATCATTGTCAACTTTTCCAACCTTATCAATTTCTATGATTCTATGCAAATTATCCATCTTCCCATTTATGTTTTGCAGAGCAGTTTGAGCTCCCACTCTTTCCACAACTTCTCAGCATCCAAGAGAACACTCAGTAGATAGCGCCCCACGGCCCCGGGCACTATGCGAGGGTTAATGGCTGCGCTTCCCTCACTGCTCTTGAAACAAAGGAAGCGAACCCAGGTCACTAATGCTTCAATCTCAGGGCTCGCTTTGTAATGGCTTCATGAGACTGGCTGTTAGGGTAGAGTTAACCAGGGATCAAGAGACAAAAGCCAGTTCACTTGTGACTCCCTTTCATCAACAGAAATACGAAAGGAGTGTTTTTTTTCCTAAATTCTATATCTTCAAAGGAAATTCAAACCTTGGAATATGATTGCCACAAGCAGAGATATTTAATATTAATTATGCCGTTATGTTGTCGCATACAATTTGGACTTCAACCACTTCATAGTCTCATGTTTCTGTAAGACCTCCTTCTTTGAGGGTTTCCTCCTCAGGTGGACGGGTAGCGGTGCTGCCAGGAGTTTCTGCTGTGCCCCACCACAAAGGAGACAGGAATTTGAGGCACTTAAGGCCACAGTAGGGAAACAGGATGAGAAACGCTCTGTCAAAATCCCCTGTGTGGCAGCATTTCCAAATTAAAGTATTTTAATAGAGACAAGCGCGTACACACGGGGGATTGGATCCTTTTATTTTTGGCTGAAATATTTAGGGTTGCAGTCAAAATGTTTTCATTTTTTAATATTTGTTTTTCTGAGGAATAATTGAAGTTTTTGCTGCAAAGCAGATATTTCACACAATAAACATGTCTTTAAAAAAATAAAAAATTTAGAGGGAAGATTTTCAACCATCTGTCTGGCTGAAGGACTATTGAAGAGGGAATACCAGGAGTTTATGCAGATTTTTTGCAACTCTTTAAGAACCATTAAGAAGCAGAGGCTTTGGCTCGTGTGAGAAAAGGTGTTTCCCTTTCACGGGAATGGAAACAAAGCAGCAGGGTCATGTGAAATGCCAGAGTCAAAGGAAAGCAGTTCTAAAATAACAATGAAAAACGTCAGTATATCGTTCTGGTGTGCTTTCCCGTAGGGTATTGCTGACTCTCCTTGAAAAGAGAAAGGACTATGCTACCCCACTGCTGTGGAATAACACTGTTATCCATCATCACCTTCATTGAAATAAGCAGGACTATTTGTGCAGTGGGCTGCAAGCATCAGCATCCGCATCTGGTCTGAACAGTTCCATAGAAATTTTCCTACGCCGTGGAGCCCTGGGTTGGTTCAGGTGCGCATGTGAAGGAGAACAAATAGCAGCAACTGGTGGTTTCAGCCCGTGGCCGGCAGCCAAGGCGTTGATTACCATCAGGCAAGCAAAGGATCAGCTCATCGGGGGCTTGTTTCTC